CTCTGTAAAAACATATGCCTGCAATCAATTGCATCCTTCCTGCATTAAAATCTAAATCCTTCATAAATCCTTTTCCTTCTTCCATAAATGCCGCCCACATTTCCTCCAGGAATTGGCATGTAACTCTATCTCAAACTACCAGAGCAATCCACACACCTTTTTTGCTGTTAATAGGGGACCGATTTGGCCAATTAGGAAGACAAAAGGAGGGAAAAGATAAAAAAAGATAAACACTTTCAGAAATGAATCTGTCTGTTGCAGGAAGATGTAAATTAGGGTATATGACTGAGTTTCACAACGTAGTTAGATTATATGACTAGAGTACATACTAAGAACTAAGACTTTTGTGGGTATAAGAAAGGACACCACATCGTCTCATGCTTTGTAGAACTTTCCTCCCATGTCTCTTGTCCATGTGCTTGGAATTTCTTACCCAGAACTTTAACTTTGATCAAAGAATAGTCTGTTTTCTTTGGTTTTCAAGCCTCCGTTTAAATCTTTGTTTTGGTTCATTTTTGGCTTAAGTGTGTTGCCAGACTTTACATTTTTGTTATTAAAAGATTTTACTATTACACCGTGAGTTCCATGGCATAATTATCTATTTTTCTGCTTAATTTTTTAAAAAAAATTATATATAGTCCGTAGGGGTCTGGAACGGATTGATCATATTTACATACAATCCAATGGGAAAATTAGATTCAGGTCACTACCAAATCAGGTTGCAACCAAGATTATGGAACGAATTGTGGTTGTGTGCGTGGAGAACACATACCTTCTCCCCCTCATGAAGGACATGCTGAGCCACTTAGCCAAGGGCAAAGTGTTCACCAAGTTGGATTTAAGAGAAGCCTACTACCGCATAAGAATTAAGGAAGGAGATGAATGAAAAACCGCCTTTAACTGCCTGCTTGGCAGCTTCTAATTTAAAGTCATGGATATGGAATTTCATAAAGCCTCCCTAGATTACCTAGGCTACCAGATATCCAGCGGAGGGGTGGAAATGGACCCAGGGAAAGTGAAAGCAGTGCTAGACTAGCAGCCCCCACACACCTGCAGACAACTTCAAAGCTTCCTGGGATTTGCCAACTTCTACAGACAATTTATCCCGGCGTTTGCAGAGGTCACCCTACCCCTAACAAAACTGTTGAAGATGACACAATGACCAAACCAGCCACTTGCATGGACAATGGACTGTCAAAAAGCCTTTGAAAATTTAAAAAGTCTCTTTGCCCAGGAGCTGATCCTTCATCATCTGGATCCAGAACAACAGTTCATCATCCAAGCAGACGCTAGTGACGCAGCCATGGCAGCAGTGCTCCTACAGAAGAACCCACAAGGACAACTCCTGCCCTGTGCCTGTGTGTCCAAAAAGCTCACTGACACTTAGAGAAGGTGAGCCATTTGGGACAAGGAAGCCTACACAGTCCAGTGGGCCCTCCTCTCATGGAAACATTTCCTGGAAGGGGGAAAGTGCCTTTCAAGGTCTGGACTGATCACAAAAACCTCGAAGCTGTGAAAACCCTTACGAAGGTGTCTCCCAAGCAAGTCTGCTGGGCGCAATACTTCACATGATTCAAATTTGAAGTGAAGTACATCCCGGCAGGGAAAAACCTGTTAGCCAATGCTCTGTCAAGAAAACCGCAATTTGATAGCCACAGGGAGGAAGTTGTCCATGCCATCATTCCCACCGCACAACAAGCAGCACAAGTCACCACCAGAGGCCAAGCCAGATGACCACCCGACCCCAGCCAGGACAAGATGACAGCTGCCTTAAAAACCATGCTTCCCACTGACCCCCATCTCATGGACAAAAAAGACGTTCTGATCATGAGAGATAGGCTAGCCTGGAAGGGATCCAAGCTGTATGTCCCCGCAAGCTTGAGACTGGAGGTGCCACAGCGCAGCCATGACTCAAGGATGGCCGGGCACTTCAGATTCCTGAAAACCCTACATCTGGCAAGGTGGCAATTCTGGTGGCCAAAAATGAAAATGGATGTAGAAGACTATGTGAAAAGCTGTGCCGCCTGTGCTGCCATGAAGATGAGACCAGGAAAGCCCCCTGGACTCCTTCAACAAGTGGCAAGCCCCAGCAGGCCTTGGGAAGAAATTGCAATGGATTTTATTGTTGAACTCCCAAACAGTGGGGGAAACACATTGATTTGGACAGTAATACTTATTTTCTAAGCAAGCCCATTTTACCGCTTGCTCAGGATTGCCTTCTGCAAAGAAGCTGGCTAAGATGTTCATCAAACAGATCTACCGACTGCATGGAATACCCCAGCGGGTCATCTCAGATCGAGAAGTCCAATTCACAGCTAAGTTTTGGAGAGAGTTCCTGAGATCCATTGGATCCACACAAGGACTCAGCTTGGCTTTTCATCCAAGTACAAACGGTGCGGCGGAATGTGTGAACATAATGATGGAGTTGTATATAAGATGCTATATGGATTACCAACAAGAAAACTGGGCAGAACTATTGCCACTTGCAGAAGTAGCTTACAACAATGCCGTGCATAGCAGCACTGGATTAACCTATTTGCAGGTCACTAGTGGCATGGAGTTTGTACCCCATGCTTGAACTGCCCAGAGAACCTCCCTCCTCCATGACTGTGACCGAGTGCATGGAGTTGCTAAAGAATGGGTGGGAGAATACAGAAAAAGTGCTGGCACACGCCGTTGAGTATACGAACCAAGCAGACAAACACCAATATCTTCAACTCCCCTTCCGTGTGGGAGATAAGAGTTTTTTAGTGAAGCGGTTGACATGATGTGCCAGTGCCTGGAGGCTGTTAGGGTCTGGATGGGGGTTAACAAGCTTGTACTC